CTGTCAATGAACTTCAGTTTGAAATATCATGGCTCCATCATATTCACTCCATCCCCACCCCCACAACTAATGGATATTGGTTGGTATTCAGCTAAGACCACAACGTATCTTCCACATAATCGCTTGGTATCATGACTAGGCCACTCGATAAAGTGTCGAAACGAAAGGTTACAAGGAATATTTTTTTCATTTTGATACTTTCAAACGTGGCCTAGCGTTGAGTTGGCATGCCATGAAACGTTTGCATAGAGATTCATTGTGGTCTGGCCGCCAAATAAGCAATTTCCATCAATTTGAGAGTGGAATGTTAGCAAGTGGTGATATTAAAGCTACAAGTAAGTTCAGTGACCAAGTTGAAATAAATTCAAGTTTAGTGAGTCAATTGAGACTTCGATTAAATCAACCTTTCAATAGCAATAATAAATTGAACTAATTTAAATACACGTCAGTTTAATTTTATAAAATTGGTATTTGCTACTATGACATTTAGGAGTTTTATTTATTTTAACAAAGATGGGTGTGACTACCTCAGGTAATCACAACAGGTGCACAAGCCAAATGCAAAGGCAAATCAAGTGTGGCGAGACTAAAATACTAGAACAGTATACAATGTGAACATACACATCCATTTGCAGTAAATGTTAAGAAAGCAACATGGATTCATTGACCATGAAAAATACATCATCCGGAGTTGAAAAATATCTCAAGAGCAAAATAACAGTCATAGAATATTAAATCACTCTAGGCAAAACAAAAATTAGGCTCTTTCCTTAAATTCCTCTTTTTTCATCATGTTTTATTGTTCTAACTGAGTTCGCAAGAAGCAAAATTGTAAATCCCCAGAGTAAATCATGTGCTTCTGTGCTTTTGAATCCTAGAATTAAAGAGCACAGAACATACCTTGTTTATTCTTAACCAATTATTTATGCATTCAGGATGGTAAGAATGTTTGCAGGAAAGCAGAGTCAAGGTGTCACCATCCTCATAATCCAACCTACATATAATACAGCTGAGGCCAAAGGGTAAAATGATATCAGCAATTTGCCATCCACATAGGGGTGGGAAGTTAAATAAAAAATAAATGAAATAGTATATATAATTAAAAACTAGCCAATGTGTACTAACGAATCACTGCTTCCGTCCTGAATGCTTTGTGATTTATAATTAACTGAAGGCAGAGAAGCAATTGTATCAGCAGTAAGACCCCTGCTCTCTGTTCCGACAACTTCACCCAGGGCAAGCAATTCCTGCAATGCAAGTCAACCAACGAACTCAATGTAAGATATGCCCGAACAAAAGTAGCCATGATGCCACTGAAAAATTTACCTCATATGATAGTTCATCTGGATCAACCTCCTCCCATGCCTCCTAAAAAGATTTAGTAAGAGATGCTTCAGAATTCTACCAACAAATTCTAAAATCAAATTATTAAGTGAATATCAACGATATAGTGTAAGATGTACTGGAACAGAGTACAGGACTACATGTGGGCATACAATTCAATTGACAAACTGATCATACAAACTTACTTGTTTCATGGTTAAAGCATAAACAAGAATCCCCAACACATGTAATATGGAAGCCTTAACTTGCCACGCAAAAATTGAAGAAACAATTTGCAATCAGTTGTACCAAAAAACCTCCTTGTAAAGTTGCATGGTCAATTATAAAGCCAAGAGGGGAGGCTCAATCCAATTATTCCTAATCAATATTAGAAGAGATAACTAAAAGAAAGAGAAGGGGTTGAATAACTAGGAGATAAAAAATAATTTTCACATTAACATATAAACCTTCATCTAACCAATCTGTCAAATCATAACCATTCTTGCAGTTATTAGGACTTTATGGTATATTCATAGGGAGTTAAGGAAAATATTTGGAGCTCTTTCGTGTTGGGAATAGGTTTGGCAATCCATGTGGTCCACCTGAACCCAAATAGTAATTCATTCTAGCGGCATTTGCATGAGAAGTCATTTACGTCATATTTATTATAATGCAGGTAAAACTAGGCATATGTGAATAGTTATTGTGATTTTACCAATTGTTGCTATTAAGTCAGTTCAAGAATCTTGGTTGATTTGATAATTTTCACGTTCGCCATTATATTAGGTCCACGAAACTTAATTTACGATTCTGACTGTTATTTGTTTATCTTGGGAAGATGGTAAGTATAACAATGTCTCTACTTTTTCCATAGTAACTTAACGTTAGAAGACGGTTAATTAGAAGAGGGGTACTAGCTGAAAACAAAGAAAAGATGGCAGACTATAAAGAAATTCCCTTTTTTTTTTGGGGAGGGATGGGGTGTGTCCCCCAAAAGTGAAGCTAGATGTTGATTGAAAAATGTAACATGTTTTGTTTCATGAAAGTTGGGTATGTAACATGAAAATGTACGGTTTTAACTATTTTTTGGGTAAGTTGGACATATAATAACTCCATAAGTTTTGAAGAAAAGGAACAATTCTTTGGAAATTCATGAGAGAGCAAAGTTTTTTATCTTCTATACGGGATCCTAAATCTAAGGAGTTTAAGCATTTTCATTTGCCTTAGCTGTTCTTGGTTGAAAGAATGTTATGTTTAAATTTTATTTCTGAACTTGTTTTTCTTCTATATTAAGAGAGATCCTTGTTCTCTTGATGTATATATATGATAGGCCCCCAAGCAGATTACTTCATCTATCCGTAGTTAGGAGAGGGTAGTATGGGCATTCAAAAATTGGAAGAGAGATGAGCATCTTGAATGCTCATCAACCTTGTATTTCCATTCCAGTTTCTCCAATAAGACGATTACACTATTAGCCCCTGTTTGGTGTATTGGATTAAAATCCAAGTTAAAGTCAACAATTAATTTCAACCATATATTTCATGGTACAAACTTTTCAACCACACATTTCATCAACTTTTATCAAAATCTACTAAAATCTAATTTTAGCTACACCAAATGGGCTTAGTTTATGTTCGTCCTGTGTTGGTATCTATTATTTGGTATCAGAGTATTGTTCTAGGCAAAAACCTAGAGTGGCCAAAAAAATGGAGGACAATATGGGCATGGTATTGGACTGCTTAATCCAGAAGCTACAGTGGATGAATGGGAAAATGGCAGCAAAGGAGAGAGGGCAACAAATACTGGAATTCTACTCCAATCTCCAAATCACAAGGAAAAAAGAGGCACCAGAAATTCCTCAATTCCGTGGAGAAAATCCTGATGAGTAGGTCTTCATGGCAGAGCAATATTTTGTGCTGAATTTCATCCTTGAACAAGAGTAATTGGAGGCAGCAGAGATCAGCTCCAACACAGAGGCCCTAGCTCAGCTTGGGTGGATTGTCACCGACCCATATGAAGCTGGGAAGAACTGAAAGATTAGTAGCTCAATGGATTTTGCATGTCACCAGAGGAGAAGGCAACATCAACGAGCAATTGCAGCGGAAAACTGGAATCGCCAATAAGCTTGGACATTAGGGCTGAGATCTGTGGGCTAAAATCCATTCAGCGATCGGCCATCACGAGGAGATTTCAAAAAAATCAATTAAACAGACTCATGGAGAAAAAGGCCCAGCAAGAGAAAACAACCCACTCACGGTAAACAATCCAATCTCAATTCTTTCAGTCAAATATTTGCACAAGTAGCCACCAAAGTTTTAGATTGGCCAAATCCTTCTACCTTCAAGAATCTCACTAATTCAGAACTCCAATAGAAGATGGAAATTGTGATTTGTTTTCAGTGTAATGAAGGAAATTGTGAGCCATATTTGCAAAAATAAAGTGTTTCCAGTGCTGGTGGTAAAAATAATTTGGAGGAACTACACCTTAAAAAGTCTGAAAAAGGACTGGCGATTTGTGGTCGGACACAAAAACAAGGATAATGAAGCTCCCAAGGGAGATTGGCGAATGTGCCATAATGGAGTTAATTGACTATGGGGGGGTTATCCAGAATTTTATTTCGGTTGTTAGGGTTCAACCTATGGAAAACCCGTGAGTGGGTGCAACTGGCTATGGAGTTTTCTTTTACACTATACTAATGACAGTAGGTTGCTTTTGTAAGTCCAGCCACTTATTTGGACTGAAAGACTCCCTTATCGCTACAACTAAATCATGATTTTTTGCAAAAATAATTTGTCCGGCTGTACACAATTTGGAATCTATAATTGGTCCGAAATTTCACCTTAAGGCTACGGTGAATTTCGAGAGTGGGATACTGACAGGCGCCCCCAAGCAGATTACTTCATCTATTCGTAGTTAGGGGAGGGCAGAATTGGCATTTCCAAAAATAAGGGTAGCCTGCCAAAGAACAAAAGGATGGGCAGGGTGTACAATTCATTCATGGTGAATTAGGGTGTCAAATTGGGTGAGAGATGAGCCTCTCGAATGCTCGTCTACCTTGTATTTCCTTTCCAGTTTCTTCAACAAGACAACTATAAATTTAGTTTGTGTTTCTGTGTTAGTACCTTTTAGCTATTTTATACAAAGGCAATAGATTATGGTTCTAAGTAAAAACGGGGCATAAAATGTGGTGAAAAGAATTTAAACCAACCATTAGTGACTTCAAGATCGAAGATTATATATTGATCAGTTGGGTGAACTGAGAGCAATACACTATTCCAAGCTTTCTACAGCCATTCAAGTTTTCAACTACTGTCTAACCAATGGAAACCATTTTTTTCATTCGAAAAAGATTTAGAATCTCCAATTATGGCCATACCTAGAAAAGTTGAAAATTTATATCTAGAGTTCAATGAAATCAGACCTGAGAATTATCACCATGATCCTCCTCTTCATCCTCATCTTCCCCAACAATCACTATACAATCATTAGAGCTTTGTCAATCATCACATGGTTCTCGCAGATCAATTAGTGGAAAACTAACGAAACAAGAACTAGGACAAAGTGGTCAGTTTAGAAACTCACTTTCATTAATTCCAGCTAGAGCTGACAACCTAGCTGCCATTTCCCTTTCTTCAGCATCTTGTAAGGCCCTAGCATAGGCCTCGTCACTTGAAAAGGCCGAAACAGCTTGGTTCTCATCCTCACCTCCTTCAGCATGAGCATGCACATCAAATGCATCTTCTGCATTATCATCTATCTCCAGATCGGTACCATCATAATCCTCTTCACTGGCATCATCAAAGTTGTCAGCATCGTCATCCTCATCCTCATCCTCATCCTCCTCATCATCATCATCGTCATTGTCGTGTTCATCATGACCATAACTCCCAGCTTCCCAACTTCCATAATCACTGCCACCATGCATTCTCAGCATCATGTATGCCCTTTCCTATATCACGGAAAACAAAGACATTTAGCCCCTGTTTATTTTTCTAAAACTCATTTTTTCTCAAACTCATTTTCAACTACACATAATGCAACCCAACTTTTTTCAACTTTTCAACCACATTTCATCAACTTTTATTTAAAAAAAAAAAAAAAGACACTGATTGAAAATTTATTGAATAACAATTTATAATGAATCAAAATACTGATATGTAAAGAAATTTTCCAGTAATTATAGGAGTTTTGCATACAAAACCATGTGCATTCCATTCAAATTACGGTAATATTGAATGGAAGCGGAGCATCTAACAGCATAGAATCGTGTATTTAAACAAATTACTTGCAATAGTTCCTGATTAAATCAAGTCAAGCTGCAAAAACTCACAACACCTTGAAGAAGCTTTTGATTAGTGGGTCACGTTTTGGTACCAATACAACTACTAATGCTTATTCCCGAAGTAGGTACTTTTATCGTTCAGACATACATACCAATAAAAACAATAAAATACTTTATACATGTTACAACTTGTAATAATAGTTATGATGGCTCAGAATACAGACACATAAAGTCCTTTTCTCGTGAAATGATGAAAGGAGCTACCAGCAAGTATACCAAGTCAAGTGCATTTCATTCATCTTAAGGTAATATTGAACCGAAACAATGCATCTAACAGTATATAATCATAAATTTAAGCGAACTTAAAAAAAATAATAAAAAGATAAAAAAAAATTAAAAATTAAAAATTAAAAATTAAAAATTAAAAATTAAAAATTAAAAATAAATAAATAAATAGATCCTAATTCTATCTCAATGCAACTAATTTAGAAAATCTTGCTCCATTTATGATTAGAAATCAGATAGTTACAGAAATCACATAGCTAGAGAAAACACAAAAAAGAAGCAAAAATAGTAAAAAATCTACAATATGGAGAAGCTTTCGTTTTGTGAGTGTCACGTTTTGGTACCAAAAACAACAATTACCAACGCTTATTCGAAAAGTCTCCTTTTTAATCCTTCTGTTCTTAAAATATTTTTGGTACCTATAAAAACCCTATTTTGTTTACAATAACAAAAAACCCTGATCAAGAATTCAGGAAAAACCATAGCAAAAAGGAAAAACCTGTTCTTGGAGGGTGCGGGCAAGGGCAAGATCGGCATCGACCTGACTGAGGTTCGTAAACGGAGTTCTCTGACGCCGTTTGTTCTCAGCATCGTCATTACTATTGACTAAGACGTCGTTTGACGAAGTATTACCGATGTTATCATTAATCTCCGTTCTCGGGTTGAGTGTAAGATCTTCTTGTTCGCAAGTATTATTAGTGTTAACTTTCGAATTTGTGTTATCCATTTCAAAATCCTCAGAATCTAATCAAAATTATTCAGTGCTGCTTATCAAATAGGAGCGGATATTCAATGCGAAAGAGAGAGAGAGAGAGAGATGGAAATGGGGCATAATTTGAATGGCATGTTGGTTTTATTTGAAATATTTGATTTGGGGATGATTGAGCGCAAGTTTTATTGGTTGATTAATTTTGAGAATTGATTTTGTTATCGTTAGAAAAAAAAGTAAGGTTCATTTGTGAGAGAAAAAATTAAATATAATGGTTAAAATAGTGAAATAACGATAAAAAAAATCAATTTTTTCGAGGGAAAAATCACTCTCAAAAGGACTCTTAATTAAAAATTAGATGACGTGTTTCATCCACACTTTAAACTTGAGTGATCAATTAAAGAGATGGATCTAACTTTAGTGTCACTAGAATAATTAATTCGTGATTGTCAATAATTTTTTTAATGAAAATATCATTTTTTTTTATTTTCAATCAAATTGTTACTTTTATGTTGTATATTTTTTTTATGAAAAATATTTACCTACTTTATCATTTTTTAGGGAAAATTGCAGTTGAGGTCCCAAATCTTTCAAATAGTGACAGACTTTTTCCTAACCTTTCAATCGTTGCAACCGTCACCCCAAACCTTTCAAATTGTAGCAATCGATGCCCCCAACGAACAGTTTCCATCCAATTTGGTGTTAGTTGACCAAAAAAATTAATTTTAACCACCTTCTAATCAATTTTAAAAGGGCAAAATAGTACTTTAATATTTTTCCCATAAAATAATAGAAAATGTAAATCGAAAACAAAAACAAAAAAAATAAAAAAAAATTAAATTAAATTAAGAAAAAAACTATATTCTTCTTCACCCCGCCCCAAAAAAACCAGAAATCACCATAAAAACCTCCCCTCTTTCTCCATCTTCTCCTCTTTCTGATTCTAGTGGAATTACTCACCTTAGTGATGGAGGATTTAGGCTAGACAATGGTAGCTTATCCACTAGGAAGCTAAGATTATCACTTTGGTTGGATATGGCGAATTCTCAGCTCAATCCCATTGATATTTCATCTGTCAATTCTAATCTCATTATCAGCGTTGCCACCAAGCCAAGGACTAAAGGAAGAGGCAGCTAGTAGTGAGAGCACATTAATGACAGATTCCCCAATTTTTCTATATTTTGAAAATTAAAACCAGCAAGCAAAATCTTTGACACACATGTCTGCAATTACACTTCTCCAAAAGGCAACTCAAATCTTAGGCACCCACCTTCTAATCAAGAGCGATGCTGGCTTTCACTGAGAAGATGGAGAAAGATGGGATGTATTTTCGTGATTTCTGGCTTTTGCGGATAGGGTGGGCTGGGGGCAGGGGTGTGGGTGAAAAAGAAGAAGAAGATAGTTCCTTTTTTTAATTTAATTTAATTTATTTTTTTATTTTTATTTTCTATTATTTTATGGGAAAAATATTAAATTACTAGTTTACCTTTTTAAAATTGATTAGAAGGTGGTCAAAATGAATTTTTTTTGTCAACTAACGCCAAATTAGATGGAAACCGTCCGTTGGGGCTTCGATTGCAACGATTTGAAAGGTTTGGGTGACGGTTGCAACGATTGAAAGGTTAGGGAAAAGTCTGCCACTGTTTGAAAAGTTTGGGACATCAGCAGCAATTTTTCCTATTTTTCTTGAAAACAAGGAAAATATTTCCTTTAGTAAGAGTGCATTTTTATTTTTCAGGTAACTCATTCTCCCTTTCTTTCTTATTTATCTCATTTCTCTCTCATCTATCTACGAATAAAAAATAGATAAGTATAACATTTCTAGGTTGAAAATCAAATCAATCATATATATTTAATTGATAATTTTTATGCAAATAATTTTTAGGCAATTCAATTACTTAGCCCTTGTTTGAGTCACATTCTAGGGAAAAAATGCATTATTCATATCAAATCAATAAAAAACACGTGGTTAAAAAATAAGGAAAATTTTTAGATTTGCAAGTAATATTATTTTATTGAAAAATGTGTGATTGAAATGATATCAAATCACTGTTGAAAAATATATTTTTTTAAAAATAATGTGGCTCAAACAAGCCCTTAGAATTTATTTTCTTTTCATATAAATTACATGCTTGCAATCAAATTGCCCTTAAGGATCCGTTTGATTGTAAGAATGAAATTTTAGTGAAAAGAAAACAAATTTTAGGATATTGAATTGTCTAGAACTTGTTTATTGGGAATTGTCAATTAAATGCATTTAATTAGTATAATTTTTCATCTGAAAGATGTTGAAATTTTGAATCTTTTGATATTCGTTTGACTTTGTTTCTATGAAAATTATCAATTAAAGAAATATAACTTGTTACAATTGTAGATAGAATTGTTTTCATTATCAAAAAATAAAAAAAAAAAAATAATAAAAAAGCTGGAAAACCCAATTCCCACCAAAACCAAAGGAAATTGAATTCATTAAAAATCAAGAAAATGTGGAGGAGTAATTGGAAAACCTATTCAATGAAAAATTCTTTGCCATCAAACATACATTTTTTTGGATGGAAATGAAATTTCTTTTCCATTTTCTATGGAAAAACAAGCCTATCAAACATGCCATTATGGTGCGTTTGATTGTCAATATTTTTCCTAGAAAATGTGTTTTTTTACCCAAGTCCCTACTTTTATTTTTTTTGATCGCCATTTTTTACATAGAAAATATTTTCATACTTTTAGTCACGTGACCATATTTTTTTCAAAATCAAGAAAAATATTTTCTTTGGGGACATGATTTTATTTTTCAGGGAATTCACTATCTTTTATGTATCCACACCATCTCATTTACCCACAATAAAAAAGAACAAGTATAATATTTTTTAAATTGAAAATTAAATCAATCAAACACATTTAATTGACAATTTTCATGCAAATAAATTCTAGATAATTGAATTACCTAGAATTTATTTTTTTCCATATAATTTTCATGCTTGTAATCAAACACATTCTTAAATTGTTAGAAAATTTTAATAAAAGTCGATAAAATATTCGTTTGAAAAATAATGAATCCCATAAATTGTGCTTAAAATTAAGTGTTCATTTTGAACTGAATTTTAATTTTTTTTATTTAATGGAACTAAAAAGAGCCGATAATAAAATGGGACCTACTAAATGCCTACTCAAACGTTAACACTCGATTATCAATCAAATGTTAAGAGGTGATCGGTTAGTTGACCGTCTAATAGCGTACCTTTTGTTATCAATTAAAGATCGATGATTAATAGACGATCACTTAATCGATCGATTCTTAACAAGTGTTATCATCTGCCTGTTAAGAGTCAATCAACTAATTGGCAACTTAATCACAAATACGTTCTAATAGCATATCTTTTGTTATCAATTAAAGATCGATGATTAAGAGATGATCAATTAATCGGTCGACTCTTAAACAAGTGTTATCAACTGCCTGTTAAGAGTCAATTGACTAATTGACATCTTAATCACAAATACTTTCTAATAATTATCAACCATCAAAATGAAGTTGAAGAATAATAAAAAATAATAATTAAACAAAAACAATAATTAATTAATTAACAAGTTAACTATGTATCATCTTTAATCTATCCACAAAGGGGAGACAATTATAAATATTGTTGCGTTTTCTCTTTCATAAGTGTATGATATCATAGCAAATAATATAGTGAACCTTTGAGTCCGGATTATCTTTTCTACGAGGACTATATTTTTGGACTTAATCTGATTTTTTTAACTCATGTTTGATGAAAGCAAACAAATAACTATATGTTGTGAATTTTTAGTTTAAACACTTGAAGTTAATTAAAATGCACACAAAGATTGATTGGAAATTCAAATAATGAATGGATATTAAAGCAAAACAATTTCACGAATCGATCAACTTTAAATCTTAAATCAAGATTCAAAAATCTAATGTAGCATTCGATCGAATTTTTCTATTGTATTTAACTTACTCTTCTCAAGTTTTCATTGAACATATTTAACTAATTCAATTCAATATCTTTATGCGAATCAAATTTAATTAAACGAAATACCAGTTCTAAGAATTCATATATGATCGCAATAATCAGTATGTGTATATCTACAAGTTATAGTAATTTACCGAATTTTATTATATGGTTTAAATCTCAAACTCACCTCTCAATAAAAGATTCACAAAATCATTAAATTGATAATCAAGTAATTTAATGCATTAATCTCATAAAAATCATGTATGATAAAATAACAAAAATCTTGAATTAAAGAAATAAATGGTCCCAAGTAGATTATATTGTACACCCTAATATGACATTTAGCTACTCATAATTAAAAAAGAAAAATAAGAGGTTATTGAATACATCACTGGATTTTGAATAAAGATGTAGAAAAAGATATCAATCTTACATCAATATCTTCTTCCTCTTTCAATCAATGCTTTAAAACTTGAATTTCCTAATGTTTTTCCATTGAATTGCGCTTTTCAATCTCTAGTTGTATTCTCTATCTCTCAATATGTAGAATCCACATAAAAGTACCAATAGCTTATATTTATACTCTTTCCATCATTTGAATAGAAAAGAGGGTTTCTTATGAGCTTAAAATGGGCCAAAAAACTTACCCTAAACGTTAACAGGCGGTGCCACACACTACTTCAAATTCCCCAATGGAGTATAGAGCCGCGGTGTGTAGCGCCGCAACGCCACTCTTTTGTCTACTCTCTGGTATAGCGCCGCGGCACAATACCTCTGTCCTAGTGGCGTCAGGCTGCCACTTGTCCTTTCTTTACATTGTGGTTTAACTCTTTTGCCCCTTTCGTTCATCTTTTTTTCTTGATCCATGTCAATAGTTTTGTTATATCATTTCTTTCCTTGATTTGCACCATCTGACAACTTTTACAAAACAACACTATAAACACATTAAAAACGTTCACTACTTTTAAAATCTAGCTCACAATTAAGTTGAGAAAAAGTAGCTAGAAAGAAAATAAAGAAATTAAATTATTCTTTTTGTTCAAAATTATATACACCACAAACCTATTATTATAAAAGAATAAAGAAAAAAATACATAAAAAAGATAAAAGAAATAGAAGACGATATCAAGATAAAATAAAAAAAAGTATAATATTAGACCAAGTAGGACA